GGCAATGAACTCCATGCTCCAGGGGCCCTCAGATGTGATCCCCAGCCACCAGGCTGGACCCATGGGCTGAAGTTTGTTATCAGTCCATGGCCAGCTCTGCCAGAGGGGAGAGGCTCGGGAACTGAAGCAAAGACTCAGGGGCAGAGTGGGCGGAGGCTGAAGTTGGAGGGGCGTGCGGAAGGCAGAGGTAGCTTCGAGGTGGCAGCTGCTTGGGCTGGGTCTGGGGTGCTGGTCCTGTGTGGGAGCCATGTGGCCTGCCCTCTTCCCTCCTCAGGCACAAGCATGTGAGGCCCAGTGACTGGGACCAGGACCACCTGAGCTAGTCCGGGCCAGGCTCAGCAGACTGCAGGGGGTCTGACTTTATTCCGTGATGCACTGTTGAGCCAATGCAGGATGAACACTTTACTCTCCAATCTGCAGCCCAGAGAGAACCCTGGGGCCTGCCTGGCAGGCCGAGGCTGTGGGGTCAGGGTCCAGCAGGGACAGCTGCAAACCCCACCTCAGAGATGAGAACTGCAGCACTGCCAGGGCTTCATCTGAAACTGCCACGGAGCCTTGGGGCTGCTGTGTGCCATCCCTGCCCCCTGAGCCTGCGGTCCTCATCCGAGAGTGACTGGGTCCACAGCATGGCAGGGCAGTGTTACTGTGCCACCGAGGGTGCTGTTCAAAGCCCTCTGCTGCCCTTCTCCGTGTGTCCTGGGCTGAGGACAGAGGGTGGCACGATAGGACGCCTGGGAATAGGAGGCAGGATATCCAGCTCCAGGTCTAGATCTGCCAGAGAAGCGCCCTTCTGTGGGCTCTCAGGGTGAAGAATTAGAGCCAGGGGAAAGATAGAGGAACAGAGAAAGGAGGGAGTATGATTTCATCTTGGTGCAGCAGTGTCCCAGGGCTCAGAGGTCAGCAGAGGTAAATCGGTTAATGGTTGCCCGGAGGTGGCGAGTCCTCTGTCGCTGGAGGTGTGCAAGCAGAGGCTGGATGAGTGACGCTTGGCAGGATCCTGTCGATGCAGGACGCTCACGGAGAAGTGGTGGTCGGGTGAGGTACGGGCTGCATGATTCCTCCTGTGGCCAAGCCAGCCTTTGTCTGACCCTGGCTCTCCGGGCGTCCCAGGAAGCCGCCTCTCAAAGCCCAGCCTGGGTTCCTGAGCCAGCGAAGTGCTTGTCCATGTCTGGTGACTCGGGCAGCAGGGGAGGAGCCCGGGATAGGAATGGTCTTCGGGGGCCTCTGCCGGGCCAGGCAATGCACGGGAGGAGACCTGTGGTGTCCGGGACAATGGGAACCACATCTGCTGGAGCTGTGCAGGGTTGCTTGCCTTGAGGAAGAGATTTCTGGGGCTGGCGGTCAGTGCCACAGGCAGGATGTGGACGTCTGCCCAGAAACCCTGGGGCATGGCCACCCTCCGCAGAGCCGGACTGGGTGTCGTCTGACCAAAGCAGCCTGATGTTCTTTTTAAATTTCCTGCTCAGCTGAGATAACCTTATGTTGCTTTCTCATTTGTTTAGCCTGCTTTACATAATTTGGTTTTTCTAATTAATTTTCTATGAAAATTAAATTTGCAACAATAAGTTAGCAGACTTGCAAGGAAAGCAAAATAGTGGATGAAGGACTGACAGAGAGAATCACCTAAATCCAGGCCTACAGATATGCCCTGGGGATCTGATCAGGGGAGGGAGGCAGGGAAGTAGACTATGAGAGGGAAGAGAGATTCTCCTCTACTTGTATAGAGGTTTATCAAGGCTGATTTTCATGAGATTGACGGTAAGCGAGTAAACTGGGCTGCCCAGGTTCTTCTTGCTTTCTAACTTTGTGTGTTGATATCTGCATAGCTTGTCACAGATTTCGAAGGACTGTCATAGCTACTATTTATTTAAATCTTCATAATGGCCTTGCACATTAGGACATAATTGGCCCCATTTTGCAAATGAAGTAAAAGAAGCTAAGTGAAGGGTTAGGCTCAGGCCTCTCTTCCTCAAGCTCAGCATCCACCACTCCCCAGCCCACCCATGTCATCCCCTGCTCCCTCCACCGACCCACAGGCTCCAGCTTGGAGCCCAGAGGAAAGACAGAGGCTGGCCCCTGCTCAGACTCCAGGTTCACCACTCGTTTTTTGCCGCTGCTGACAATCCATCCTCCTCTTTGAGTTCTGGTTTCAGTGGAGACAAGGTTCTTGTTTTATACATTGCTTTGTTTCAGTTCATTCATTCATCTAATCACACACCGCAGGGACATCTCCTAAACATCGAGTCTTTGCCATTTTCGAGTGTTGGGTATGCTGAGCTCAGGACTGGTTCAAGGTCAAAGGCCCTAATGGAAGAGAATCTACTCTGTGCAGACTCCAAGTTGTAAGGAAGTGTGAACTGCGTGTTTACCACCCCTTCTGGAATATTTGCATCCAGGGCTGGGAGGCAGCCAAGCATACCATGAACGGATGAATTCCCAGTGGTGGGGCGGTGGGCATTCTGGTGCCTGCATGTGCGTGCGTGTGTGTGTGTGTGTGTGTGTGTGTGTGTGTGTGTACTTATGGTAGGGAACAGCTGATAGCAGATGGAGGAGGTCATAGGAAGGAGGGAGAGTTTTCTCTGTAGAAGAGATTTGCTCTAGAAGTGGGAGAGGGAAAAAGCAGCTCCACTTTCTTTGTGGAGCTCCAAAGATAAGCCATACCATTGTTTGCTTCTCAGTCATTAGGAGAAGCAGGCTTTGTAGCTGTTGATGAACTTGCCTTGCTAATAAACAGTATCTTGCTGACTCTGTCTGAACTTCAGGGCTGATAATGAATATATTTTTACTTCCCACGAAGGAAAGAAGTTGCCCCTTTATTGAAACTATCAATTCTCTTTGGAAGCCACAATATCTCTCATCCTACTTCCAAAGGCCGAAGAACTTGATGAAGATCTGGGCTGGATTTTCAGCCACTCCATTCTTGGAGGGGCCTTTTGGGAGTCACGGTGAAAAGGTCTTTTTTCTTGGCCATCAGACCTTCCATGGAAGGATGAAAGTGGAGTAGACAGACAGACAGACAGGAATGTGGTGTCTGCGTCTGAGGCTCCCAGTGCCGATGCTCCTAGTGTCCTAGATGGCAACAATTCCTGGCTGCAGACCAGGTGCTGGGGGCCTGTATTCATTCTGCATAGCCCCATTCTGAGCCCTCTCTCTCCTGCACAGGTGGTGGAGTGTGCCCGGGAAAGGTGCTTTGAAAACCCCTCCCTCCTGGATCCTGCCTGGGTCTCTTTGGTGCTTCTGCCATGTCCATCCCATTTTCCAGGTTTGTGCCACGGGCAAGGCCTCGTTCTCAGAAATCCGTCCACGTGAGGTGCTGTCATGTCCTCCTCTTTCTGCTCTGTTAACAATGGCTCCAGATATACACAGGTCACTCCTTTGTCAAAGAGGAAACAGAGTGCGCTTTAAAGAGTGCCAGGTTCTGGTCTCTGACCCCTGGTGACCTTCCTTGACTCTCTGGGCCGTGCCAGGTTGTGTACAGTGTGGTGAGTGGAGGACAGCGAAAGGGCCGCCTCGACAGTGGCAAGTGCTGGAGGGAGCATGCAGGGCCTCCTGAGTTCCTGTACCCAGCCCTGATGTGCATGAGTCCCAGAGGCAGAATTAAATATCCTGTCACCCAAACCATCCTCCCATCTATCCATGCACCTGTCCATCCATCCATCCATCCGTCCTTCCATCCATCCATCCACCCTTCCATCCATCTGTCTATTCATCCTCCCACCTACCTATCTATCCATTCATCCAACAAATATTTGCAAATTACCTCCATTTGCCAGCACTATCTTAGGCACTTGGACTGTAGCTGTGAAGAAACAGGAAGAGTTGCAGCCCTCAGGTCCTGATAGGTTCCTTGGGCAGACAGTATGGATCAATCAATTGATATTTTGTCAGGTGGACATGAATATTGTGGAGAAAAGTGAATCCAGTTAGAAGGTAGAGAGGATCATAGAGACGCTGGGGAGACAAATTTCTAGTTCATTTAGAATGAAGCAGGGAAGGGACAGAGGTACAAGACCCCAAAGAAATGAAGACAAAAGTTACATGGATATCAAGGAGAAAAGGGTTTCAGAGGCAGAGAGTGTCACATGCAAATGTCTTGAGGCAGAGCCTGTGTCTGGTCTGTTTGAGAACCAGCTGGAAGCCATGGCTGCAGGGGCAGAAGGAGGGAGGGGGGTGTGGGTTGGATCCCTGAGAGATGGGGAGGGACAGATCATGATAAGATTCTTCCGCTTGGACTGGGAGGAGGCTGCTGGGGTGTGGGGAGAAGGGCCGTGTGCTCTGTCTGACTTAGTGTCCAGAGGACCATGCTGAGTGCTGTTTGCAGAAACCTCTGTCAGTGGGGAGCAGTAGGAGACTACTGAGACGGGGAGACAGAGGCGGCAGCGGGGATTGGGTGGGGGCCATGCTCAGATTCTGGACTTCTGGGTGGCATTGCAAGTAAATGGGTCTGAGCACTGTGAGGTGCACGCTGGCCGTTTCCTGGGAAGCTCTATCCCCTCAGAGAGGTCCAGACTCCACACCCCGGCCTCTGCTGCTTGCTGCCTTCGGGTCCCAGTGCAGATCATCCCTGAGTGCTGGGATTTCAGGTGTGCACCACCATGCCCGCTGCACATGCACATTTAATGCACACGAGAGAAGCCGGTGGGGTGGGACACTGGTCATCTGTGAATGCATCCTCGCTGTCTGCACCTGGCCTCTTCTTTCCCTGAAGAGCAACTCTTGAAAAGCAACACTCTTAGTTCTGAGTTTTCAGTTCTTAGTTCTGATGAAGTCTGATTAATCAATTTTTAAAACTGATCGTGATTTTGGTGTCCTATCTTAGAAATCTTTGCCTAACACACAGCATGAAGAGTGTTTTCCTGTTTCTTCCTTATATTTCACATTTAGATTTAGGGTTCATTTTTGGATTTTTTTTGTGATACGGGAGATTGAACCTAGGGCCTTCAGACTGAGATACACCCCCTTTCTTTTGAGACAGGGTCTCACTAAGTTCTATGTTGCCCAGGCTGGTCTTGAACTGTAAACCTCCTGCCTCAGCTTCCCAGAGTGCTGGGATTACAGGTGTGCACCACCATGCCTTACTTGAACTCATTTTTACGCATGGAGTAAGACACAGGTTGAGGTTCTTCCTTTGCATGTGGACAGAGGGGTGTTCCAGAACTGCCTCTTCACCTGAGTTGGTTGCGAGTCAGAAAGACGGAGATGTTGCCATAAGCTGTACAGGTGAGCACTTAGGAGGCAGCAGGCGATGCGGAGTGGAGGTGACCTGGCCCAGGTGTCTGCTGGAGTCTCGGGCGGGGGGGGGGCAGGTCTGGCATCATCTCGCAGGACTCGGAGACCCACAGAATCCCTCCCACTCCATGTAGGTGACAAAGAAAGCCCTAGGGAGACTTGTCGCCTGGCTTTAGACCTTGGTTACTTCTCAGCCCTGGTCTGCCAAGCAGAGACGCCCAACATGAGAGCGAGGGTCACCAGCAGGCCGAAGAAGCAGCAGCCTCGGAGGGAAGGCACTATTCCCTCAGGCACCGCTCCTGACCCAGCCTCACAGGACAGCAAGGGCCCTGAGTGGCACCCACGCCTGGAGGCTGCTGGGAATAGCTGTCCCCATGTGGTGCCTGAGACATGGGAGTGGAGAGCAGAGAGGATGAGCCGGGTGGGGCAGCAGCTGGGGATTCTGATACGTGTCCCAAAGGGGGACCGCGGAGTGTGTGCTCAGGTTCACAAGGCTCTAACCAATGGGAGCCTGCAGGGGAAATGCACACAGCCCGGCCGTGAGGAGGGGGCAGCGACACTGAGCCCTCAGGCGAGGGCCCGACCTGAGACAGACCGGGCGCCCAGTGTGGACCCCGCAGTGAGGCTGCCTGGATGCCAGTCCAGCCTCTGCCACCTGCCCTTACCACATCTATAAGGTGGGTCCATGTCTAATGGGATCCGAATGCGAGATGCAGGAACCAACTACAGTGGTTGCATGGTTACCATTCACTGCAAACTTAATCACGTGGTACCTAGGCAAGGATTCTTTATAGATTAGCTCAGTGAATCCTCATAATAACCCTACAAGGGGACATCTCACCCATACTCTGCAGACTCAGAAGTTGCGGTGGGAAGGGTTCACAGACGTCCGCGAGACCACAGTCCCAGTCCCGGGCTCTGGGTCCGTCTGCCCGCCGTGGGCAGCTGCCCTGCCTGTCTGTCCCCTGCTCCTCACCCCCTCCTTAGATGGGCCATTGAGGGCTCAGCCACATCTGGAGCTTGCCTGGAGCAGGTGAGAGGGCAGCTGAGCTTGGAGAACAGGCACCGTATGTGGGGAGTCAGACTCGTCTGGGGCAGGAGTCATTGTCTTTATCTGCTGGAGATAACAGCAGCTCGGGCCAGCAGTCACATCTGTAGAGGTGGAGTGGGCAGCTTCCAGCCCTGATGAGTTCCTCCTTGTGGGAGGGGTCTAGGAAAAGGCAAGTAGGATTCAAATCCAGAGAGGAGGAGGGAGTAGATGTCTCTGGAAGCTGTGTGGAATGCAGTGATTGTCCACCCCTGCACTGAACCTGTGTCTCCATCCTCACAGTAATGGCAATGGTTTTACCTCTTCCTGACTGCAAGGGCATCGCCAGGGTCAGGAGAGAAGCTCCCATTAAGCACATCAGGATCTGAAGGAGAGAGAGGCACTGTTTTAAGGTAAACTATCATTATAGCACCATACGTAATTGCTGAGAGGATAATGGAACCAAGGATCTGCTAAATTAATGTACATAACACACTGACAGTTTCTGAGAACCAAATGTGTTTATTTCATGTGCCCAAGGATTGCAGCCAATAATTCAGTAATTGCTATTATAGCCAGAGCCTCAGTGCAGAACAAATTCTCATAAATTATTTGGAGGTTTCAAAAACAAGACACGGCAGAAACAAAAGCCATTCTGCCATGCCCTTGGCGGCCCCCAAGGCCTCCTGCTGTGTAAACGCCCAGAGTCCCGGTGAGGCGGTGGTGGCCAGCCGAGCCCAGGGGGAGCTGGGGAGCTCCAGCTGAGCATTCTGGTTTGGGCAACAGCACCACAGCCCTCATCTACTTCTCGTTGGCTTTCTCTCGCCAAACACATTGGCATATTTTGGACCAGTTGGGCTGATGAGGATTAAATGCCTGCTAATTCTGTACTGGATTGAATTAGTTTCAAGACCAAATTAATTAAAACAGATGAAGCTCCCTTCACCCGTTATTTGTGAGCTTGTTAGAGCAGGCGGGAGCCCGGCCGCACTGAGGGTTGTGTTGCTGTAATGCGTGACTTCTTGCTGCCCATCCCTGGGACCTTGGCAGGGCCCAACGTGGGGCTGCGAGGAGGTTGCTCATGTTTGCGTTTGCTGAACACAGGTGTGAGCAGAAGCGGCTGCTCTGAAGCCCCCAGGCTGTGGAAGGCAAGTGAGGAGCATGGGGTGGAGGGCAGGGCAGAGGGAACCCGCCCGCTGTGAACACAGCCTCTGCACCCAGGGCCTCCATGTGCAGTGGGGAAATCACTGAGAAGCACAGAGCTGGCGAGAAGATGGCACAGAGAGGAGCGAGGGCGGCCAGAGCCCGAGAGCGGGAAGAGACGGCTGCCGGCCTCACCGCTTCGATGTTTCTCCTCGCCACACTAATGCAGCGAGCGCGGAGGCCCCACCTGGCTGCCAAGTCTGGGCTCCATGCGGTTAATTCCACTGGATAGCAATGCATTCAGGGATCTTCGCAGTCAGATTTGAATAAAACCAAGAGAAAGGGCAGCCTGGGCTGACCGAGTGAGAGCCGTGGCCCAGAGGCCATGGGCTGGACCCGGAGCTGCTGCTCGTGGTTCGGTGCCAGCAATGTTGTGTGTTGTGTTGATCATGTGTTTGTGAGGTGTGACAGTCACACTGCTCGTGGGGAGTGAGCCTGTTTACACGGGAGGCGGTGGGGAGCAGGTGCGTGAACCACACAGCGGCATTTATGGATGAGGTGGCAGCTGGCGTGGCCCACGGCTAAGCTGGCTGAGCTCTGCTGCATGAGAAGAGAGGCTCCACCAGATTAGGGTGCAGCCAGCCAGGGTCACCTCGCTCTGGCTTGGAAGATGTGCAGGCGGGCAGAAGAGCGGGGGACCGGGTGCCAGGCATGGCGGGGGCGTCTTCCCTGGCCTGAGCAGGGAACGCCATGATAGGCAGCTGCGTCCTCGGCCCTGGCTGTGACAGGTGGCAGTGACCCCACGGATCTGCATGTCTGAGGGCACCAGAGGCTCCCAGACAGCAACCTGGCATCTCTGCAGGCCTAGGCAGAACCTCACCAGCAGAATCCCGAATCACGGACGAGTCTGAGCCATTTGCAGGAACAACTGGGGGCAGGGAAAGAAAGCCCGTTTCCTAAGAGAGTCCTGATTGGGCAGAGGTGTTCTGTGTTGAGAAGGAAAGCCACCAGCCTCTCTCCTCCCGGGCTGCCATTGGCTTGTGTCTGGATGCTCAGTTTCTGTCTGTGAGTTTGGCGATGCAGACCCTGCAGCAGGCGTGCAGAGTCTGAGTGCTGGCTTCTGTCCCACCAGGCGCCGCAGGAAAGGCGTGAGCTACCGCCCACTCACAGGTGTGTCCTCACTGCACCGGACACGGCCACAAGGGCTCGGGATGGCCCCGTGGCACCTCTGGCTCACAAGAGGCCTGTGGGCTCCTCAGGTACACAGCCCAGCACTGTCATGCAGGCTGCCCTGAGACGGCTCAGAGGGTGCTGACTCTGGAGGGCACAGCGACCTTGACCCTGCATGGGTGGAAGGAGGGAGGCTCTGGGGTCCCTTGGGCAGGCACAGACTTCCGAGGTCAGCTGGACCGGAACTGCGCGTGCGTCCAGTGCAGGTTGTAGGCTCTGCCACCCATGTGTGCTGCCTTTATGTCTTTTATGCAGTGTAATTCATGTTCTGCAAAATCCAAGCCTTTTAAGGCACATTTCTATGTCCTGCCCACTCTCAGTGCTGGGAATTGATCCCCGAAAATGTTGAGCCACAGCTTCAGCCATTTTTATTTTCAAATTTTGAGACAAGGTGCCGCTAAGTTGCACAGGCTGGCCTTGAACTTGCAATCCTCCTGCCTCCGCCTCCTGAGTAGCTGGGATCACAGGTGTGGACCGCCTTTCCTGCCCATTTCTGAGTCTTAGTGAGCTCATCCTATCACGTGGCCGCCGTGCTGAGATAAGAGCAGCTCTGTTCTTCCTGTCCTCCCCCTTGCACCATGGTCTTCCTGTCGCTCACTGGTTCTCCGTCCAGATGTGTCTCTGCCACTTGTATTTTCACGAGCATCCGGCCAGTGCTGACTCACAGTAGATGAAGAAATGCTATGTTAGCCTAACTCCTGAAGCTACTTCCTAAGGCATTTCTGATGACCATTTTACTGTAAGAACTTCTCTGAGGCTCTCAAAAATCCCAAATTGCTGTTTTTCTATTATGCAAAGCGTGGTCCAGGTTTGGGTAAGATTGCCAAGAGAGCTGTATGCCAAACACACACCATGGTGTTTTACAGATGAAGACTGTGCCCAAGGACACTGGTATGTGTGAGCTTTTCCTTTTCATTGTGGCCAAAATGAAATCTGTGGCTCATATAAAAGCAGCAGCCTTCATCAACCACCTCAAGGGCTGGAGGAATGTTCTCTCCTTCCTTGCAAATCTTTAATTATGTGGGAAATTTTTCTATATACTTACATTATTTCAAAGCACTCTTTAAAAATTGAACAACAAAGAAACTTAAAGAGTGAAAGTTGCCAGGCATGGTGGCACAGGCCTGTAATGGTAGCACTCAGGAGGCTGAGGCAGGAGGATCACCATGAGTGTAAGGCCAGCCTGGGCTACACAGTGAGTTAAGGGCCTGCCCTTAACTTTTAGACCTTGTCTAAAATCTAAAGAATAAGAGTTTGTCTCCCAGTGTATGATTCTAGCACATTCCTTGGTTCCTCACTGCCCCATCGACTCTAAAGTCTGATGTGTGCCCTTTTAGACATATGCACCCACCCACACGCACACAGATCAGATTATGTAGATTTTTTAAGGAAGTGCTATTGAGTGATATATATTAATCAAGTAGTTTTGTATCTGACATTGCCTGAGAATTTATATTTTAGCAATTGAACAAATAGATTGGGTTGAAAACTGCATCGCAATTCACTGAGTATATTGTGTTAAATGTATCAGACAGCGTTTCGGAGGCAGACACCTCTGAGCCGGAAACTTCAGTGAGGCACGGGCTTCTGGCTCTCTTTCTTCCTCTGGAACTGCAGGGCTAGGCTTCCACTGCCACGCAGAGACACACTGTGTGCCCATGGCTGCCTGTGAGGTTACCTGAAGGAGGTGCTGCTCAAGCCGTGGCCTCTGTGTCCACGTCCACGGTGAGCGTGGACAGCACACTCTGCCCGGGAGTGTTCGGAGGTCACGAGCAGAGGTGGGTCCGGCCCTCTGTGGGGACCTTGCCCCGGGAAGGGTGACCACGGCTCATGTAGTCCAGAGCGCCAGCTGTGCCCCGGGTGCCTGAGGCACCCACACGGAGCAGCTGTGTGAGCCACAGCAGCTCCACCACACACAGCACATCTATGGCAGGAGACGCTGTCCAGCGCTGGCCCAGGGTCACCCGAGGAGCCACTGACCACGTGGGAGACTGCACATGGCAGAATTGCTTCAGAGGGCAGGCTCATGGCTCACCACGACGCGACAGGGTGTCCACACTGTCCAGAACTGCACTCAGGTGGCCGCGGGGAGATGAATGTGCTCACAATACGGACAAAACAGGAATTCAAAAACTTAAAAAAAGAGCTTTGAGATACATGTCACACGTCACATGCTGCACCCACAGCAAGTGCACAATTCAGTGATTCTAGCACCTCCTAGAGACGTGCAGCCCGTGTGACAGCTTTGGAACCTTCTCATCACCGTGTCCATTCGCAGTCCCTCGTGTTCCCCTAGTCCCTCCAGCCCTAGGTGATCACTAATGCATTTTCTGACACTGTGGATTTGACCATTTTGGACATCTTACACCAGTAGAGTGTGTGTTATTTTGTGTCTATTCTATATGTATCAGTACTTCCTTTTTATGGCTAAATAATATTCCACTGTACAATCATACCACATTGTGTTTATTCATCATTTGGTGACAGTTTGGATTTTTTAAAACTCTGGGGCTATTATGAATAATGCTGAAATGAATACTTATGTATGAGTTATTATATGAATATAGGTTTGCATATATATGTATACATATGCATATATATATATATATATACATATATATATATGACAGTGGGGTTGTGGGATTGTTGCAGTATTTTTTATAGCTATATTTTTTTCTGGCTAAGGATCTTCTCTTTTAATCCTACTTTGCTAAATATTTTATTTATTTATTTATTTATTTATTTTTTGGTACCAGGGATTGAACTCAGGTCCTTCTGCTTGCCAGGCAGGCAGTGAAACCACTGAGCTAATTCCCCAGCCCCTTTTGCTAAATATTTTAAATAACATTAATGGGTCTTACATTTGATAAGATTATTTTTGTACATCTGTTGAGATGACCATATGGCTTTCTTTAATTTTTTATTTGGTGAACTATATTTTTGGATATTTCTTTTTTGTGTGTACTAGCTGATGAATATATGATTCAAATGTTTTCAAAGCCTTGGGCGGGGGATTTAGCTCAGTGGTTTTGCCACCTGCTGCTCAAGTGCAAGGACCCGAGTTCAATCCCCGGTACCAAAAAAAAAAAATGTTTTCAAAGCCTTAGTGTATTTAAAAAATAAAATAACAAAACCTCTAAAAATGAAAAAATGTGACAGATGAAAACATAATTGGCAGATTAGATCTAGTGGCCTAGACAGTGGTGAGCTGAAGCCGGCTCTGAGGAAATTGCCCAGATCAGAGACAAAGAAGGTACATTAACTAGAAACTGAGAAAAGCTAGCATATAGAGGGAGGGCTCAGTTCACATCTAATGGGAAAGAATGGAGCAAATAAAGAAGTAACGTTTGCAGAGTTAATGGTTAGACTTTGTTAGAATTATTCAAAGTATGAATTCCGAGTTTAAATAAGCACAACAAATGTTGAGTATAAAAAATTTAAAAAGCTCTGCTAAGACATCATTGCAGAGTGATGGTGAGATGACTGTCCGCTTTGGTTTTAAACTTGCACAGAAATTTGGTTATGTGAATATTGCTGCACCGTGCTCTGCTTCCTTGGATTTCACAGGTGTGCTCTGTTCTCTACAAGTAAAACACTTAGCAGGAAGTCTACAGTGAGCCTGCACTTCACCCATCGGTGCCCCCACCCTCCTGGTTAGTCTGGGGAGCAGCCAGCTTTGTTGTTGTTCAGAAACGTCTTGCTGCTCTTTGGTGATCATTAGCTGGAACCACGAAACACGTGCAGTTTTACATTCCCTGCTGAAACTATCATGGAGAAAACCGGCTCCTTCGGGGAGTCCCCTCTCGTGAGCTTTGACGTATGCCTGGATGTGGACAGGGCCAGAGGACCCCACTCCTTGGAAGCCCTCCCTGCAGCTCTGCCTCGAGTCCATCCTCTGAGCCAGTGCCCCTCAACAGAAGCCACACAAATGAAGTCACATAGTAAACTATCCTCTGAGCCTGGTGGCTGTTGTCTAGCATAATGCTTTTGATATTCATTCAAGTTATTATGGATTAGTAAGTTGCTCCTTCTTTTTATTCCGGACTAGATTTCCACCATGGGACAGACCACTCTGTGTTTATTTGTTCACCTCTTCAGTGGCATTTGGAGCAATCCAGTTTGGGGCAGTTGTGGAAAGAGAAGGTATACGCATACTTACAGAATTCTGTACATTCATTTTCATTTCTTTAGGGTAGGCACCTGGGAGTGGGATTATGAGGCCATATGGTAATACATGTTCTCATATCTAAGGAAGTGCCAAACCGTTTTCTGGAATGGCCATGGCATTTTGCATTCTCACCAGGAATGCCTGAGTAATGTCTTGTTTCTCTGCATAATCACTAGCACTTAGTATTGCCAGGATTTAAAAACAACTTAGCTGTTGTGACAGGTGGACAGTGACTTATCACTGTGGATTTGTATTTCCCTGCCAGCTAATGATGTTAAACATTGGCGAAACGTCACTTGTCTCTCTGTTCTAGGCTTCTGTCCATTTTTAAATTGGGCCGTTTATTACTGAGTTGAGAGTTCTTCAAACTAATTCTTTGTCAGGTATGTGATTTGTAAACACTGTATTCTACCTTATGGAGTGCCTTTTCAATCTTTTAGCAATACTTTTTGAGTAGCAAAAGCTCATGATTTTGATGAAGTTCAAATTTATTTGTTTATCTTTCTGTGGGGATCATACTTTTGGTATCATATTTAAGAAATCTTTACCTAATCAAGTTCGCAAAAGTTTAGCTCTACATATTATTCAAAAGTTTTATAACTTTATGTTCCATATTTAGATTTGTGATTCATTCTGAGTTAATTTTTGTCTATTGTGTGAAGTATGAGGTCCTTTTTGCATATGAATATTTAGAGTACCATTGAATTGCCCTTATGTATTTGCTGAAAATCAATTTGTCACATTTTTGTGGGTGAATTCCTCAGGTCTCTATTTGTCCCATGGATCTCTGTGTTTATTCTTCCTCAAATACCATGCTGTCTTGATTGCTATCACTTTATAAGAAATGTTTACATCAGAGAGTATGAGTACTCAGTTTCTGTTTTCTTTTTAAGAAGTGTTTTAACTATTTTAGGTCTGCTGCATTTCTCTATGACTTTCTGAATAAGCTTATTTGCACACAAAGTCATATTGGGATCTTTTTTGGATTTTGTGTTAAGTTTATAGATCAACTTTTTATAGATCAATTTTAGGAGAACCTATATCTTTGTTCTACTGAGTCTTCCAATCCATGAACACAAAACGTCTGTGTTTATTTAGTTCTTCCTTGGTTTCTTCCGTCAGCCGCTTATGGTTCCCAGTACATAGATCCTGTGTGTACTTTGCTAGACTTGTACTTTCTACAGGGCTATTTTTACCAGACAGTGTCCCCAAAGACTACTAAGTTATTCATTAATTTCTCTGTATCTTTAGTATCGATTTGTTCACATTCTTATTCACAGTGGGTGTTGTCAACATTTTTTAAAAATGGTTTTACTTAGTGTGGTTTTATATTCATTTGAAAATGGTTTATTCTACTGAGTGAGCAGGATCATCTTCACCCAACTCTCTTCACTCTAGTCCTATTGCACTCAGGAAGGCTGGCCCAGATGCGGGGGACTGTGGGTTCCGTGCATGGCATGTCCCACAGCTAACTCCTGCCATGCCTCTCTTCCCACCTCAAAGGGAGGGCTGCAGTGAGCTGAGTGGGAGGTCTTCTCAGTTCTCCAAGGGATGAGCCTGCCCAGTGTTCTGAGGTTCCCGAGCGAGTTGAGAGCGAATGTGCTGTGGGCTGGTTGCCAGAGACCCGCGTGGGATTCTCAACTCTGCCACTGCCCGGAGGTGAGATGTGAGGAGACACCCTTGCTGTCTGGGCCTTGGTTTCTCCTGGGCTTAATGAGGCTGAAGATCCAAGTTGAATGAAGATCTTCCTGCCCATTCAATAAAATAAATCACTTTAAAACATATATAAAAATGCGGTAAGCAAAGCAATTTTGACAATACCTACTGTGGATAAGAATGTGGGCAAATCAGTGCTGGAGATACATTGACTATAGATGGTTCTAGTTCTGTAGCTCATCATATATATAATCAATCATATGTGGCTGGTCAATCATACTTCTCATGTGGGAAAGAAAGAAATGAAGGAGTGGAGAAAAGAAAGAATAATGAGAGGAAAGAAAAGGATTGAAAAGACAAAAAGTAAATCTAAATGTGACGCTGCCTGGTGGGGAGCGGCTGTTGGTCACCTGTAGGCTGGCTAAGTGTCCGCCTCCCGCTGAGGTCAGAAAGTCCGTTTGCACACTTCATCTGCCATTTTTCAGTATTGTCATTATACTTCCTTTGCACAATAAACCAATAAATGTGCTAATCTTGTTGATTTCATATGTAAATGTGGCTTTTGAAAATGCCAGTTTCCTGGAGACAACAGGTGGCAGAGGGAAAACAGAACAACAGCAATTTTGCAATACAAGGAAAGGAGTTTTGGCAAGATCAAGACAGCCCACAATTATTTATGAAGACCGCAAGGTGGTGTCCCGGGTGCCTGCCGAAGTTTCAGGGCCAGTGAAGACAACTGCAGGGAGTGTCTGCCAAGTGGCGGAGCCTGGACCGCCCCCCCCCAGCCATGCACTGTTAGTATCTGCGACATTGTGGACGAGCATGTGAATTCATCTCTGTGTTTCTAGTTAACCTCAGTATTTTCCAGCCTGGTAAATTGCTGACCAGGCATTTGAACATAACAATGTTAGTGTTATAACAATGGAATATTTGTTGGAGGCATTTCACAAACTAGAAAAGAGATACTGACTAGTTGATAGTCTTTTGCTTAGCTTTTCATTTTATTTCTTTTCTTTTTTTTTTCAGGTACCAGGGATTGAACTCAGGATCTTGTACTTGAAAGGCAGGTGCGGTGCCACTGAGCTAAATCCCTGGCCCTAACTTTTCATTTTGAAAAGTTTCAGAGATAGATTTTTATTTTGATGTAATCAAACTTTCCTTTTATGGATTATGATTTTGATGTCATGTTTAAGAACTCTTCACCAAGTCTAAGATCCCGAAGATTTTCTCCTATCGTTTTTTTCTCAGAGTTTTATGTTGTTCATTTAAATCTAAGATCAATTTTGAGTTAATTTTTGTAGAGGGTGTGAAGTTTGGGTTGAGACTCATCTTGTTTTGTTACCATTGAATTATCTGTAGATCTTTGTCAAACATCAGTTGGCTGAGCTTATGTAGGGTGATTTCTAGGTCCTGTGCTACATTCCAGGGATCTGTGTATCTTTCTCCTGCAAGGACAGAACTGCGTTTCCTGTAGCCATATACTACATCTGGAAATTGGGTAAAGCAAATCCTCTCACTTGTTTGTCTTTTTTTTGAAGTTGTCTTAACTGTCTTGCCTCCTTTGTCTTTCCAATTCGGTGATAGTCTTTTAAGGAAATGGAGGGGAAGCAGTTGGATGTTCATAGGTAAAATAAGTACCTGGTGTTTGACAGTTAATTTTGGTTCTTACCGTGGCTGGATCGCGGGACGCCTCGGGTGTTGGCAAAGCACACTTCCTCTGGGTGAGTGTGAGGCTGCTCCAGAGGAGACGGGTGTGCGTGGCCAGTGTGACCTGGATGGGAAAGCCCTTCCCTGAGTGCGGGGTCACCAGGGTCTGCATGGAGCAAAAGACCAGAAGACGAAGCAGCTTGTGTGCATGCTCAGCTCTTCTCCAACTATTGAGTTTTCTCTGCTGTTGTCACCTATAAACATCAGACTCCAGGTTCTTTGACCTTTGACCATGAGCTTGAATCTGTGGCTTTCCAGGGAGCTTCTGGGCTGAGGCTGCACAGTGGGCCTCTTTTTCACTCTGGGGCTTTCACTCAGACTCCTTGGACTGAGCAGCTCGTGTTTCCCTGGCTCTCCCCTGCACACAGCCCCTGATCCTGTGAGCCAATCTAATAAACCCCCGGATATAATATAATATAATATAATAAAATAAAATAATCTATTTTTCTGGAGAATGCTACTGATACATAGTCCTAGACCTTACACCATATATGCAAGTTAACTTAAATGGGTCGTAGATTCAAATGTAAAACTATACACCTCTGAGAAAATGTTCAGAGCTTAGGCTTAATTCAGACATTTTCGGAATTGACACCAAAACCGTGACCCTAATAAATTAAGCCTCATTAAAATAAAAAACCTGCTCTGCAATAAATCTATTAGGAGGATAAAAAAACAAGTGATAGAGGAGAAAATACCTGCAAATGACAGACCTGTCTACTGTCTAGAAAAGGACGACTGTCTAGAAAATATAAAAAGCTTCCTAAAACTTAACAGTTCAATTCTGGAATGGGCAAAAGGCTTGAACAGACATTTCACCAAACAGGACCAACAGACGGCAAACCAGCACACAAAAAGACATCAATGACATCAGCCATCAGGGAAATGGAAATTAAAACTGCAGGAAGAGGCCACCACACACCCACCGGAGTGACAATGCCAACGCTGGCCAGGACTGGAGGCTGGGTCACATGGACTGCAGACAAAGTGTGGCCGCTCTGGGACACATCTCGGCCGTGTCTCATTGGCTTCACATGGACAGTCCATTCCTCATGGCACCTTGTGTGCTGTGGTGCTCGACTCTGACTGTCATCATACGGCTGGCTAGGCTGCCCAGGCTTTTCTATGCAGCACCTATTTCTTTGAATTGTTATCCTTTTCTACTTCCATCCAAGTCTTCTGTCCGGTACTTATTTCTCTCTTCTTATTCTATCGATGAAGCCCTCATGTCCACTTGTGGAGTCACATGGGCTTTTGAGTTCGGAGGAGATTCTGTGGTTCTCTACACAGATATTCAGCCGAACACAGTTTCCATGCTGTGTCGTATTCTGAGCCCTCTTCTCCAGAGTCTAGAGTGTTTCCTCTTAAGCCCCTGGCCTGTAGTTTCTCAAGGGATGCTGCTGGCAGTGTCTGCTCCATCTCCTAAAGCAGGAATGTCGGGCTCTCGCTATTCCTAGAAGGAAGCTCTCTATTCTCCCACCTTCTTAGAGTAGTGTATGTTATTTTCATTGTTTCATGTAACATTTCTGTATTTGGGGGATCGAGGAAGAGCTAAACCAGGCCAGTCTACATATCCACACAAACCCTCTCTTCTTACAGTATTTGCTCCAGGAGGAGAAGAATTTTGACTTCCAAACTGCTGGCCTATTTCGAGGGAACACAAGGTGAATAGCCCTGAAAGTCCTGTTTGGAGGCCCCACCCGCTGCACCACAGGGAGCTGGGTGCCCACTCCCTCGGGCCAAGGCAGGAGCTGTTCATCATTCTATAATGATCCGAATCACACAGGAGCATCCATCCAGGGGTGTCTGCTACAGCAACTTTTCTTACTTATGTAAAATTTTTATTTTAGAATAGTTTTAGATTGACAAAAGAAGTTGTGAAGATAATATAGAGTCCCTGGATGCATATCACTTAGTTTCTGCATTGTTAATATCTGATATTAGTTACACATCTGCTATCACACAGGAACCCACTGGTCCAGCTGTTACATAGACTTCATAACTAATTTAAATGTCACTAGTTGTTACCCCTCATCCTCGCTGACTTTGTGTGTATTATACATTTAAATATATGATACTCCCATAGCTATGCATTACCTCTGCCTTTGGATTCTATGTGCCGACACATGTGTATTTGTGTGCATGTGTGTATATACCGTAGAAAGATAGATTATAATTTCAAATCCTGAAAAAACCCCATTATCCTGGTAAATTCTATTTTCGCAGTTTTTTTTTTTTGGTACCAGGGATTGAACTCTGGTCTTTGTGCTTGAGCAGCAGGCAGAGAAACCACTGAGCTAAATCCTCAGCCCTAAATTCTATTTTCTTAATCTTATAAAAGAGAAAATGCGCCTGAGCTGTGTTGGGCTTGGTGGCCAGAGCTGAGCTGTGGCTCTGCTCTCTGAGCTGCACCCCGCCCCCTGCTGGCAGAGTGCTCTGGTCAGCAGGGACCAGGACTATGTGCTGACTGGGATTTAAAGCCTTGGTACCTCCTGCTTCCCCTCCTGTGCTCAGTTACAACTCCTAAGACAAAGCAGGAGCCTTGGGGTTGCTCTCAGACCCCCCTCCAGAGAAAGCCTGGGTCCCTTTCCACACCCAGCCCTCAGGAGAGCAGCCCACTGGCCACCAGGAGTGAGGACAAGGCTCCAGGGGCAGAGGAGACACCCGGGCTCCAGGTCTGGGACGGTAAAGGGACCGGGAGCCCTGTACCTGGCAGGTGGGCACCCAGGTCCTTGCGGAGCACTGTTCCCGAGTGCGGGAGTGTAGGCTAACAGTGGTGACAACGTTGGCAGTGTAACCTTCCCAGGGCAGCCTGCTCACTGTCCTGTTCCCTTTCTGCCCCTCCAGATGCCCTGTGTGGACAGTCCCTCTCCTGCAGGGTGGGCGAAGCACTGGGCATGGCTGAAGCAGCCATGATTGATTAGTCACTTATTGGTTAGTTTCCATAAAGCCTTCACACTCTTCCCCACTGTGCTGCAGTCTGACGTCCTGATTACACCCTCATTGGGTTCTGCTCTGGGCCGAATGACTGAGCCAAATTGAAATTCACGGCTGTTATGAACCATTTCCAAGACATCACTCACAAGCAAGTCAAGCGCTGCCCCCTGCCTGCCTCTGCCCATTAGACTTGGGATCGAGATCGCAGCCCAGGCTACCCTATTACTGGAGGCTGTTGCCTTATTTATGACCTCTCCGCAGGATACTGCAGTCTATTTCTGTTGTCACACTTTCGCCAAGTCCTATAAACTGCTGGTTCCCGGCTTGCATGGCAGTGGGAGTGGCAGATCTGCGTTGCTTTATTTAGCCGATGCCTGGGCCAGTTACCCTATTTGGCCTTTTGTGCCCCTTGGCCAAGGTGAGCAGGAGTAAACCAGCACCATCTCTGTTTGTTTTTAAACAAAGCCTCTTAACACCTATGAGATGTCATTTCCTTCTCCAGGAAGCAGGCAGTGTCTGGCCCAGGGACATGACACAGCTTTGTCCTTAACACCAGGAGTCACAGAAAGGTCCCTTCCTCCCGTCAGCCTGTGTTGATGGAGATGTGCTTACAGATCAGTGATCAGCGTGGAGGAGAGCGCCACCTTTGGGGTTCCGAGATGCAGGGCTGGGAAACACCTCACACTGCTGTCCTGGGACTGGCTTGCCTGTCACCCACACAGAAGCCAGACCCTGATGGACACGGAGTTGTGTGGGTGTCTGGCAGTGAGGCCTGCTCCAGGGCAGCACGGCAGCAGTCCTCTGGCTGGAACAGACTGGGTGAGCAAAGCAGACAGTCCTGCGTTCCACTTCTGGCCCACTGCCTCCTGGCTGCAGGACTGTGTCCTTCGGCAAGTTGCATCCTACCCTGGCGCCTCCATGTTCTCACCTGTGAGTGGAGTTAGCACACTCAGCCCACGGTTAGCTCCCACGGGAGGGCAGGCACGTCACCAAGTCAGACGTACCCAGTGTAGTGCTTGCAGCATGCCCCTTGCTACCACAAGGTTTGCAAACCAAAACTGGAAACCCACTGGCTGTGCTGGGGCTGTGGCTCTTGGAGAAAGGGCTTGGATCTTAGAGTCACTCACACCCGGGTTCTAATGTCAATCTGCCACTTCCCAGTTTATGAGCTTGAGTAGATTGCACAAATTTTGAGACTCAGCATCTTTACTTGGAAAGAATGACGGGAACTGCAGGGCCTATGGGCTGCGTGATGCATGGTTCCCTCCTTACTCAGACCTGGACTTTGCCCTTGACCATCACTTGGGCACTCGGTCACCTGAGAGGGCGGTCACCAGGCTCAGGAGATGGAAGATGACCAGGTGCCTGGAGGAGAGCCACTCTGGGAAGTCCTTGCTTCTCAGCCACATACACGGGATACTGACACACGTTTAAACATATGTTAGCATGCACACACTCGGCACAAGGGGCATACGTGTGCTCCTTTCCTTTTTCTTTCCAAACCTTTTCATCTCTTCTGCTCTGTCCACTTGGGATCCACTGTTGGCCAAGTCCCAGGCCTTTTATTGACCTCAGGATCACCTGTGTTATTGGTGCCTCTGCTGCCTGCCCTGAGGCAAGATAAGGTGGCCCGAGGTTGGGTGTGATTCGTCCGCAGTCTGTGCAGAGACCACAGTCGTGGTGATTCTGAGATCCCCACTTTTCACCTCATTACCACATGGGTGGGAATTTAATGTTCACAGTTCTGGAGCAGGCATGGCAGAGAGAAGCTCAACTTCCTCTCATTCCTTCCTCTCCTGAAGCCCCCTTCCGAGAATAGTCCTGTCCCACCTGCCCAGCTCTCTTTGAACCTGGCCCACCCTGGTCACCATGGGCCTTGTGTTCCTGTTTGTGACATGAGGACCGCAGGGCTGTGGCCCAGACGACGTGGGACAGTGCCAAGTGAGTGCGTTGTGCAGCGGGCCCTGTGTCTCTGTCCTGGGTGAAGCATGGAGTCAGCGGGCTCCTCTGGCTTCTTCCCTTGCTCCCGGCTTCCCCGGGCTGCAGAAGGAAGCCAGACAATCTCCCCGGGTCTCTGGTGCTGGGCTCTTCCTTGCAGCAGGGCTCTCTCAGCAGCCTGAGGAGCAGGCCTCGCCTCCCCGAGTTACAGAGGAAGCAGTGGGAGCTCCACAGCGACTTGCCTGGGTGCTCTGTGGGGAGCCAAAGTCCCCATCAGGTGCTCTGAGCAAGGGCTGACCCCGTGCACAGGATGTAAGGCCTGGAAGCCCGAGCGCGAGTGGTGAAAGAACACCGCAAAGACCCAAAGCAGCAGTCACTCAGCTAAATGCCGAAGCGTGTGGCACTGCAGCCCCTCTCAGTCACACATGAGGCAACTTCATGTGGACTCTGCCGGCTTTCTGAGCCATGGACACGAAATGGGGTTCCCCAAAGCAAAGGTGCTTGGAGCCTGGCGAGAGACAGAAGCAGCCAGATGCGAAGCTCACTCCTGGGCCGGGTGCTCAGGAGTGTCGCTGTGTCGCTGCTGCTTGTCTACTCCGCAGGGTGAGCAAAGAGCATCTGGGTTTTGTCCTGGGGCTCACAGTAAGTTTAACAGCCCTGTCCTTCCACTGCGCGGTGCCCATTTTCATTTTCTCTTCTTCTGTGTCACAAGCCTGGCCATCTAGTCACAGGCTATGCTAATAGAGTCCCCTGCTTGCTCCTACCATGCACAGCTGCGATGGTCAATGAGACTCGCTGGATTTCTGCCTCACACTCACTGGGGGCTCTGGGGTCTCCCAACCCTGTGGTTGGAAACAGGGCTGCTGCCCGAGCTCCATGTCACAAATAGACCCAAAGACACTGGCCTAGTTGACCAACAGTGGTGACCTCCCTGCTTTTCTGGCTGGTTTTATTAGCAGAAACGTGAAGTTTATTCCCCAGCCTGGACACTGCCATCTGTCACAGCATCCTGCACCTCAGCAGGAGGCTGACTAGCTGCTGGATCACAACATGAATTAGATACATAGAGAGCCCGAGTGGATGAGGAGAAGTGCGTTTGCCCACAGAGTTGTGCTAATGACAGAGCTTCTTACACACCTGCGAGGCCTTGTATACACAATTCCCGCCCGGCCTTGCTTTCCTTGTTGCATGTATTCTTCCTCTAAATTGTTCCTACCATTTCCACACCCTCTTCCAGCACCTTCCATGCCACTACATTGAAAGGCACCACAACATTCTTGCATCAGGACATACAGAAGTTTTTGGTGTGACTTTCAGACCCTGCCATTGCCCATGGGTCCCATAAGGTCATTTATCAGGTGTTCTCAGCACTAGGAAGCCCCAGTCTCTAACATGATTCCCTACTTAGTACCTGTCGGGTCTTGGGCAGTTTAATGTCCCCGAGTCTAAGTTTGTCCCCACAGTGGGGGCAAGGGCACCATCTAACTGGGGTTCTGAGATAACAGATGCAGTCCTAAGAGGCGTGTTTGAATGGCTCCTGTGTTGGAGTCAGTGCTTTTATTAGTCGGCAGTCCTGTTGCAGGGACCAAATACTTGATACTCACAATTTAAGGAAGGAAATGGTCTATGTGACCCATGGTTTCAGAGGATTCAGTCCATGATCGGCTGGCATCAAGACAGAAACATCATGGCAGAAGGACATCGTTAGGGTTTATATTTAGATGCCCCCCAAAGCCTCGTGCTCTCATAGACAGGGCTTTTGGAAGGGTGGGATCGTGGGTATATGATGCTTATTAGTGGATTGGTCCACTGATGAGTGTGTAGCTAAATGTGGGGTTGGGGGGTGAAGCCTGGTAGGAGGAGGTGGGTCATGGGGAATGTGACCTGGAAGGGTCTGTCTTCCTCTTTCCTCCCTTGGTCTCTCTCTCTCTGCTTCCTTCCTGCCACACCATGAGCGGTTTCTCCTCTGCCAGCCCCCTCTGCCATGCCACCTGCCTTGGAGCCAGCTGACTATGAACTGAAACCTCTATGAACTGTGAGCCAAAATAACCCTTTCCCCTTTACGTTATGACTATTGGGCACTGTGTCTGTACAAGGAGAAAGTATCTAAAACAGGTGTGATAGAGCAAAGCTGGGTCATAGTCAGGAAAGAGCAGGAGAATAATACTCAAGGAGAAGGGTCAGCAGTGCTGCAGATCCACTCAGGCCTCTGTGCCCC